AGTACACAACCTTGTTTCACTCCGCTGACTGGGAATGCCCCGTAGACCGCGCATCGAAGGTTACTACGCTGTGCGTGTTTTCGTGAAATGACTGTGTGATAGTAAGCAGTCGTTGGGGGGGGGGGGGGGGCAGACAACCTATTTTATGCAAGATACTGAACTGGCCACTCCGATTACCAAATAGAATGCCTTGGTCAGATCAATAAAAGTTAAGCAATGTACAGAGGCATGTGCTGTTCACGATACTTATCCTGCAACTGTTGTAAAGAGAATAGCATGTCAATAGTTCAGGCCCGCACAACTCAAAATGTAAGGCGGGCCGTAATGCATTATGAAAAACGTGTGCGGGCAAAAAGAAAATAGGACAGTACTTTTGCGGGCCAAACAAATATAGGTCAGGGGGGAAAGTTATTAAAAAATAATAGGAATAACGATTTATTTTTTTTACCTCGCGGGCCACAAAGTGGATGCTGGCGGGCCACATGCGGCCCGAGGGCCGTATGTTGTGCAGGCCTGCTACAGTTGATTAAAGTCTATAATTAAGAATAATATATTATATACTGAAATACAAAAAAAGTTGTGTTTTTTTTTAGTTCTTAACTTTTTATTGTCTATTAGTATTAATGAAAAAAACATAATGTTAGGTCAGTTGAAAGTTTGGTCACTTACTTTATTTTCCACAGATTATCTCTAGTAATGGTTAACTAAGTGTCAATGTGTTTGTTTAGCGAAAGTTCCATATTACCGCCCATAGAAAAAAAAAACTCAACACCTTATGAGTTTTGCATTTTTTACCCAATTTACAGGTCACTAGCTCTATTTTCGAATCCGTCATTACATATTTCATCATATCCCTTTGTCCTTGGACCGTTGGGGCGCCACAGATGACATGAAAACGATCCCCTCCATTCCTCTCTTTTTTCTGCACTTCGCACAGCATCGCCTTGTTTTAGTCCCCTCCACTCTTTGATGTTATCTTCCCATCTTTTTCTCTGTCTTCATCCTCTTCTCCCTAATCTCATTGTGACCTGCATGATTTCTTGGGCGAGCCCTTTTTCTTGTCACGTGGCCATACCATTCCAGTTTGCGCTTTTTTACAGTCACCAGGAGGTCATCGTACTGCCCAATTGATTGACGAATATTTTCTTTCACTTGTTCGTTAGAGATATGGTCTCTATAGCAGATTCCAAAGATGCTTATGAAACATCTCATCGCAATCGCCTTTATTTTTCTTTCACGTTCTGCTGTTAATGTCCAGGACTCGCATGCATATAAGAAAATGGAGAGGACTGATGAGCGCATCAGTCTGAATTTGGTGCAGGGGGGTATATTTTTGTTTTTCCACATTTTCTTAAACCTCTTTAGTGTTGTTTTGGTCTGGGCGATCCTGGACATCAATTCGTGGTTGGGGCCTTCTTCCGAGACTATTTCTCCTAGGTTCTTGAAGCTGCCTACTGTCTCCAATCTTTCCTCCCCGACCTTAATTTCAGTGGAGATGCCGGTGGTGTTACTCGTCATCTATTTTGCCTTTTCTGCACTGATTTGCATGCCATAGGTTGACGAGGTCTTGTCGAGACGGCTTGCCAGGATGGATTACTTCTTCGTTCCCAGCCAGTCCGTCTATGTCATCCGCAAAGCGTAGGTTGGTGATTGTTCTGCCACCAATGCTGACTGTCCTTACACGCGCTTCCAGAACATCTGACCTAATTCTCTCCAAGAAAATGTTGAACAGAGTGGGGGAGAGCAAGCAGCCATGTCTTATACGCCAACCATAGTCTTGAACCATTCTCCGAAGATATTGTCATATTGTTGAAGAAGACTGCATTGGTGGCCTTATCATAGAGGCTGCATATCATTTTGGTTAGGTGTGTGTTGGTGTTGTAATGCCTCATGGTGGCCCATAAAGCAGCATACCAAATGAATATTTAGCCTACAAGCAAATATTTCGGACAACTTACAACAAGGGATTTCTTGGAATATTTTTTTTTAAAATAATGGGGAATGTTTATCATTGTCATGTATCTATATATATATATCTTTTTTTTTCTTACGATATTGATTTTGTAAATAAAAAACTACATAATATAAAAGGAGTTTGATAAATTGATTTATTGGGAAAATCAAGTTATTACTAGATTTCCCAAACTTTTTTCCTCCCGTACCCCTTGAATAGATTTTTCATTAATCAGTATACACCGCCCTCCCCCTTTTTCCAACTTACCTTACCCCCAATCAACCGTAAAAAAAAATGGGGGAAAAAAATTAAAATAGATTAGATAAATAATCAAATGAAGCAGATAAGTCTGATGACGTCACAGGCTTTTATTTGTAGAATTTTATATTTTACAAGTTATTCCAGTTTCTTTTGTTTTAATTTTTTTTTTTTAAATAATATACTAAGAAATGTTACCCACGATATCTTTTAATGAAAGTGCAAAAAAATTATCGAGGTGACTACATATCCGGCGACAGGACGAATAATTCTTGAGATATTCGTCCGGCGACCAGAACACATGACCGCCGTAACAAAGTTGTGCGTGCCCGGTACAAGCATGAGAGAGACGGACTAAGAGAGGGGGTGATTTTTTAAATATTTTTCTTCTTTAAAACCATTTTTCAAACAACCAAATAAAATATTTCCTGTATTATAATACAATAATAAATTATTTCTTTTCGCATGTCACCGCACTTATTATTATTTTCATTTATATAAATTTATTTATTTAGCAGTCATACTCAGTATGTATAGTAATAGTAGTAGTAGGCCTATGCCAGTATGGTCAGAACTACCCGGTTCATTTAAATTTAAGTCATATGTGTACCGAGTACCGGTATTATTGCTCAGTCTTATATATAATATTAATATGTGAATATGAACTATATTATTACTAGTATTATTATATTATTAGTATTAGGCCTAATGTCAAAATTATTATAATAATTATAGCATAGCAATAGCCAATAGTAATAGCAATAATACTAATGACACGGGTACATATAATATAAATAAAACGATATGATTATGATTATGACATGACTTAAACTTAAATTTAAATACTTAAATGAATATAAATAAATATATAAATGAAAATAAGTGCGATGACATGCGAAAAGAAATAATTTATTAAAAGTGTATTATAATACAGGAAATATTTATCAATGTTATTAATATTTATTATATTGTATAAATCTATATAGTATATATAAAGTATAAAGTAAACAATAGTGTAATCGTATATAAATATAAGTATGGCCTATTTAAAAAATTTGTTGAATCAATCAGTAGGTTATTTACATTATATGTATTAATAATTAGTAGTCAATACAGTAGTCCTAACATTTTATTCACTTTTATTTTTCAGAGTTACAGATTGACATCTTTTCCCTGTGTTTGTGCTTTGTTTAAGTTTGTGTTTTTATTTTACCTCTGCACATCTAGTCTTATTAAATGGCTATGGCTGATGTTAAAAGGACAATAAAAGATTTTGACATTTTTGTGGCAAGTTTTGCTAAAGATGCTGTCACAAAGCATTACAGGAATGGTTTTGCTGTACACCTCTATTACACCAATGGGAAGCATAGGTCAAATACTGCAAGAATTCTTGATGAATGTCTCCAGCAATCAGACAGTAACTATGTGCCAAATATAGGTGTTATCTCATCAAACCTATACAGGCTTGTGGAGAGGGTTTCCGTTTTAAAGAAAAGTATGGACAAAAGCTGGCATGTGATAGAAGACCTGCTGCTGAAACCTTTGCATGTACCAGTATCAAGTGCAAAAAAAAGGCGGAAGGTGTCTGAGGCTACTGCAATTGTTCAATATGTTGATAAGAATTTACTGTATTCACCTCCTCTAAAAATAAATTCTTCCAACACTTTTGAGCTTTCAACTGTTGGTGCACAAGAGAGGTGTATGCTTCCTCACTTAGATCAGCAGCAACAAGGGTACCCACCTTCGGCTGTGATAAAAAAACTAAAGACAGACTGTGAGAAGTGCTCCAAAATAAGAAAATCTTACATCATGGCTGTATCAGAATTGAAGTTTAAACTCAGATCATCTCGAAAAAGTTTAAGAGAAATGTCTAAACTCTATAATATCAGGTGTGTGAATCAAAATATGAAAAGAAAGGATGCAGCTAGAGACAGGCTAAGGATAGAAAGAAAAGCTTTGAAAAAAGAAAATTTTAAATTAAAAAATGAAGTTAAAAGGTTAAAAACCATGATTGGAAAAGAAAATGTTGATTTTCCAAGAAATTACAAAATTTATAAAAGTGAGAAAGATATAACAGGATGTAATGATTTATCTCAAAAAAATTTGGAGATGAAAACTTTAACAAATAAAGCTCAAACCAAAGAAGAAAGAATCCAAGAACTAGAAGTAGAAATAAACAAGTTAATGTGTGAACTAAAATTGTTACAGGAGGAGCATAATTCTGTTACGAATATAGAGCCAGATGTAGATCCAGAACTGGAGTCCGAATTCAAAAGGTAAGAGAATACAGTTTTAAAACTTTTAATTCAAGTTAATATTATTAACCTGTGTGGGTTACAATGATGAAAATAAGACTTGTTTTTCATTATTTCAAGGATTTAAAAACAATGTTCAATTATTTTATTTTAAGATCTAAAATACAGAAAAGTCAAAAGCATGACAGCAGATCTGTTGATATAAGTTTCTGTTCTCAAGAAATTAGTGACATCTCCATGGGTAAATCCTTTGTCTTTTAAAAGCAAATTTTATATTATTTTCTAAGAAATGTATACATTGTAAAGAATTTCATAATTGGATTTGAAAGGTTTTTTGGTTGTTGTTTTTTTTTTTAAGAAATAAATTTATATTAAAGAAACAGCTCAAAAGGTTGTAAGAATATGCTTACAAATTATAGATTTACTTTAATGTTGAGAAATAAGGTAACAAGAAGCATCAACAATAAGTAAAAAAATAATAAATAATAAATAAATTCTGTTTTACTAATTTTTTAAAAAATGTTCTGTGTTGAGGAGGATGGTGTGAGGTAGATAAAGTCACAGACATTCCAACCAATGTTGCCATTGAAATAGAAGAGCAGACTTACATCACAGTTCTAGACAATGGGGCCTTAGAACCTTTTAATCACAAGGACTCTGGTGAGAATCAACTTTAACAAAAATCCAACTTTAAAATGCTATTTTGTTATTGATTGGTATTGTAAAGTTTTTATTATTATTATTTTTATTTTTTTGCCATAAGCTGGGTTTATTAACTAATAATAACAAACTAAAATTAAACATTTTCAAAATTTCCATTCATTTCTTAATACAGGGGAAGAACCCACCAACCCTGCTGATATTTTCACAACCAATATGATAGATAACTCAAAAGTTGCCTTCAAGTCTGTGAATGGCAAATATTGGAGTTTACAAACTGATGGTAAAGTTGCTAGTATAGCTGAGACTTTAGGGACTAGGGAACAGTTTGAACCTGTATTTCAAGGTGTAAGTCTGTAACTGTATCTGTAATACTATCTCCAGTTATTTTAACTAGATGTATGTTAACATAAATCTTTACTGTTTTTAATTTTTACAATTCTGATAGTTGATTAACTATAAGTATGCACACAAGACTCGTTTTGCTGATCTTTTAAAACCCTTGATAGATGAGTGAATAATTTAATTTTTTTCCCTCTAGACAGTCATGAAATACATAATTTTTCATCATTACTAGTTGAAATAATTGTTAGAGTTCCACTTTGTGATTCTGTCTTAAAACTCGATGGGTATTAATTACACTATAAATACAATTTGTTATTTAAATGTGGACTGTATTTACAAAAGGCTTATGTTACTCTAATTTTGTTGAGTATTAAAAATCCTTGATAGAGCAGTTCATCCTTTTTTGACTTCCAAAATTCTATTTAAAACAGTCTTGTTATTCATCATTAATAGTTTAAATAGTTTTTAATTTAATCAAAAGTTAAATAATTGTTAAGGTTCCATTGTGGGATTCTGTTTTAAAAAATGATGGTCACTGGTACTGATTAGCCATTCACTGCCAATACAAAACTGATGAATCTGCTACATCACCTGATACAAAGTCCTCAGATTTCTTCACTTTAACTCATAATTTTTATATTTATAGTAGATATCCATCGACATAAAATGTTGTTCTTTTTTTTTTTATTGTATGTTTTTTGTATATTACTACAAATATATGTTTTTACATCAGTTTAATTCACAGGTTCTTTTATGTAAAGTCTGAACAAGAAGATGATCCCACATGTTCAAATAATATTATTTAAATTATTATGTTTGTATTACAGGGCAAGCTGGCATTGATTGGTAGCAACAAATGTTTCCTGTCTTATAATGAAGAAGGCAACATTGTTTGTGAGAGTTGTACAGCTGATTCAAAAAATTGGTTCAAACTAAGGTCAATTCCAGCCAGAATGAAAGATCCAGTTGAGGAAGGTGTGTTAAATGAAGGGTAACATTGAATCCAACGGCTAGATTTTAATTTATTTTTGGGTTTCCCTGGTGTTTAGATACGGTACATTATTATGAAATTAACCTTCTACTTTCTGAATATACAGTACAGCAGCAAAAAAAAAAAAAAATATCACGTAACATTGCTATTACTATATATATATAAACCCAACTAACTTTGACTTTAGTGAGGTACATAGAGTCTGATCATAAATATTTTGGTCAAGGAAAACGTTTGTTGTCCTGGTACACATAATGTGATGAGGAGATACCGGTACAAAATACAATGACTCCTGGTACAGATGGGTGTTACATTCTTTCTTTTTTTTTTTTGGGATAGTGTTCCATTAAAATTTTCTTCACCATATCCTTTGATAGCATACCTCACTTAAACGAACAATAGAGCATTGACATAGGCTGCATTGACAACACTTAATAATAATGACATAGGCTGCATTGACAACACTTAATAATAATGACATAGGCTGCATTGACAACACTTAATAATAATGACATAGGCTGCATTGACAACACTTAATAATAATAATATTTCATTCCTGGATATAGTGTGATTTAATGGAAATTAACAAATAGTTTCAAATAGTGTTTTTACACCACTGGACTTCTGAAACTTTTATGGCCCCTACTCTGCAAGCATCGAGATGACTGGTTCTATCCCACATTTTTTAAATGACATCCTCTGCAATAGTATAGGGCTTTCCCATAATTCTCCATTCTGTAACCAATGAAGCTTCGGTTGCATAGACACATCTGCTTATTTTAGTTATCATATTGGACTGTAAGTAACAAAATAGTCTTTTGTTTAATTATTTTCTTAATAGCTTTCCCCCTGTCCCATTTTCTTTGTGCCGGCACAAGTCCTGTCTAATTTTCTTTTGGCCCGCTCAAGTTTTTCATAAAGTATTACAGCCCGCCTTACATTTTGAGTTGTGCAGGCCTGTTTTAAAAAATAATAAAGATATATGCCAAAACATTGTGTTCTGTAAAAGTTTTTATCTTCTTTCAACTTTTTGTGTGTAAGTAAATGTATTATTTTTGAGTAATCTCTACAGGAATACAGTTTCTTCCTGAAGGCAGTTGAAATTGATGTTAAGATGTGAGCACAGAATATGAGTCTTGACGTGGAGTCTTGTCTAGATGTGTCAAGTTAACCATCATGTCAAGTTAACTATCATATCAACTTTACCATCATGTCAAGTTAACCAACATGGTAAGTGGAGGATATTATTTTAACTAGCCATTGAACCATGCCAGGTTTTGATAGGTTAAGTGTGCTATTAATTGGTATATTGTGGGATGGTTACATTCACCCAAGATAAGGGTTATCAAATTTTTATATATTTTAATGCTTCAACTAAAAAGTTTAAAAAATTATCCGTATGATTCTTAGGTTTTCAACATCTATATAAAAATTGTTATTTGATGATCTATTATTTTCATTCATTAAGAATGTTATATTACTGATCATGGGATTTTAGATTATGTTGAATATTTTGAAAAAAATAAAATAATAAAAATTAATGATCTCTTTGGCCATATTATCAACTAAACTTCATGGGAACAATTGTTTGTCACAAATTGGTGGGGCAAGATTAAAACTAAATTTGTTATCATTATTTGGTAGGAAGAACACCACTTTAACTGCCAGTTAGCTTGACCAAACACTTTAACAACTTTTCAAAAACAGAAATTATTTTCAATAAACTCATTTAAAAAATAAATCCTTTTAATTTTAATCTAACAGTTAGTCCTAGAAGGGAATGGTATGCTACATGTCAGCAGATAACTGTTTGAAGTGAGCTCTTGCCATGGTCAGCAGATATCGATATCTGAAGTGGGTTCTTGACTTGGTAATGGACAAGAGTGGGTATTGTTTGGTCAGTTTCGATAATAACACATTTTTAAAACTTATTTTGATTTTAATTTTAACAATATATTTAAAAATAAACAATATATATATATATATATATATATATATATATATATATATTTTTAGAAATGGATTTCTATTTCTAGCTTCAACTATAAATGACATGATTAACAGCCATAATGGATGACCCATTAACAACAACTTTCAGATTCAATGGATAACCCATCAACAACTACTTTTAAATCCCCTGGATGACCAATCAACAACCATTTTTAGATCCAATGGATGACCCATCAACAACTACTTTTAGACCCAATGTTAGCTTCAATTAAATCTTATCCTCTACATTTAATAAGAATTATGTACATTTTTAATTGTTTTAATTTACTGTTGAAAATGAAAAAAATAATGATTGAAAACTAAACATTAATTCCTGCAGGACAAAAACTTGAACATTTTAACATATGTTTATCATCAACCTTGTCATGGCTGTATCTTAATATCTGGCTTTGTCCTTATTCTTCTAGGTTTGAGAGCATCTAGAAAAACTCCACCATGATGTCAATTTAACTCTAGATGCTGCTTTGCTGTGAGGAATATTTGCTCCCATTGCTTCTTGTTATTTTATGAGCACAAATCTCAAGTAAACAGCCTGCTAATTTATTTATACAATTTATTGAATAACCCAAATTTCTTATTTTACTTAACTGGTTCAGTGACTTCTGATTTAGCAGTCATTTTTATGTAGTAAAATCATGTGAAAAATCAAATCTGTTGTGATACATGTGAAGAAAGAAAATGCAAGATATTGTTCAAGTTAAATATAAGACATAGAGATTTACAAAAGAATATTATATTATACATTGTTTATGGTGTAACTATTCTTACATTTACAATTTTAATGGTAAAAGGGACAATTTTTTTTTACCATACCATATTTATTGAAATTTCTGTATTTTAACAAAAGTGATTTTGATTTACAAAAAAATACTCCTCTCAGGATAAAGTAGTTGAAAAAAATTATCAGTTAACATTATTTATAATTTACCTAAATTTAAAATATGTACATATGTAGCCAATGCTGGTTTTGATTTATAGGTGAAAGAGAGGTTTTTATTTTATTTTATCATTTTTTATTGGGATGTAGAATAATTGGCATCCACAAAAGAAAGAGTTTTCCTATGTTTCTCTTGAATGATTGACATGATTGAAGTAATAAAATAATTAGATTACTAATCCATTTGTTTTGCTTGTTTTTAATTACTTTATACTCCATATTTCTGTTATTTTGGATATTTTAATAAATCAAACTTGTGTTGGTCTTATGGAAAAATAAGGCTTGGACTTTTTTCATTCATTTTATTAACTGCTCAATTTCATACTAATTTTTATTAATTATTTTTGCATTAGGGGCTGAGTGCATTCAATAACTTTCAACTGGCATTTATTAATCAATCAAGTAGTGTGTTTAAGACTAAATTAAGAAAAAAGGGAAAAATTTGGATGGTTAATTATTCACAATTTTAGCTACTTTTATATATATATATATATATATATATACATATATATACACTTAATTATATGTACTAAGATCCTTCCAACACAAACTCCGTAAGAGAAATACTACACAGTGTGTGGTTCTCTACCAATATCTTCTGAAGGTTGAGGTCCGTAGTAAAAATTTTTTATTGTAAGCCATAGTCAACTTGATCACAAGATATTTTCCGTGCCCTAGTGCATTATTGCAGATATGTTAAGTTTGCTAATGTAGAAAGGAGAGAATGAAGCTCATTATTGTTGTCCAGCTGAGAAAATTAACATTTTGTTTGAGATCAGGGAAAGGAAGAAAAACTTTGACAAACAACATACATTCACTGTTTAATATTGGAATATTGCAAAAGATAACGTTGAAGCAAATAATATTCGGTATTGAAGAAATTAGAAAAATCACATTTTTACAAGTGCATTAATGAATGGCCCTAAAGTTTTAATACATTTGTAGACTTACTGAAAATATATAAAAAGAAAATTTAAAAAAAGTATTCTTATTTTAATTTTTTAAAGTTTAAACTAATAACTTATTCATTACAAATATCAGTTAAAAGAGTAAAAATTAAAATGTAATTGTAATTAATTCTCCCGATATTAATTGTCCCGATTTTAAATACAATTATCAATAGCGCTTAATTATATTATGATAATATGTTTTAAATTTGCGCCCGTCTAAGACATTCATACCCTTTATTTAAAATGTGGCTTACTTAAAATCGATCCTTTCATAGTGTTGATTGTTTTTTAAAACTATGGTCAAAGTGCGATAACCGAAGAAATATTTATGTGATGCAAATTATTTTTACGGTCTAAGGGAAATAACCCGGCCCATAAAAATATAATTATTAAAAAATAAGACACAAAAATAAATGGGAAATAACTCTTACTATCTTAATATTTTTAAAATAAATACACGATAGCTTCCCTTTGACCGTAAGCCGCAATCTTGATATTTCACATGTGGGGGGAAAAAAAAAAAATATGAGAGCCAAAATCACATTTTTACAAGTGCATTAATGAATGGCCCTAAAGTTTTAATACATTTGTAGACTTACTGAAAATATATAAAAAGAAAATTTAAAAAAAGTATTCTTATTTTAATTTTTTAAAGTTTAAACTAATAACTTATTCATTACAAATATCAGTTAAAAGAGTAAAAATTAAAATGTAATTGTAATTAATTCTCCCGATATTAATTGTCCCGATTTTAAATACAATTATCAATAGCGCTTAATTATATTATGATAATATGTTTTAAATTTGCGCCCCTTTAAGACATTCATACCCTTTATTTAAAATGTGGCTTACTTAAAATCGATCCTTTCAAAGTGTTGATTGTTTTTTTAAACTATGGTCAAAGTACGATAACCGAAGAAATATTTATGTGATGCAAATTATTTTTACGGTCTAAGGGAAATAACCCGGCCCATAAAAATATAATTATTTAAAAATAAGACACAAAAATAAATGGGAAATAACTCTTACTAATCTTAATATTTTTTAAATAAATACACGATAGCTTCCCTTTGACCGTAAGCGGCAATCTTGAGATTTTACGTGTCG